CTATTCTCTCCCTCATCCCACTGGGGAGGGGGAGAGTGAGCGAGCGGCTGTGCAGTGCTCAGTTGCCGGCTGAGGTTAAACCACAACAAGCAGTCACTGAAGCAGCCTAAATCCAGATTTAATGTCCATTAAAAAGGAAACGCTTTAGTGTTGGGATCTATGTCAATGTTCTGGTTCTCAGGAAAGTACTGCATTTTTATAAAAAAGAGGCTCTCATTTTTGGGCCGAATTCAAACTGACCTACAGGATGGATAGGTAAAATATTATTTGTGTGGACAAGCTTGATGTGAGCTTACTCTAAATCTGAATATGGCCTTTTGGAGGCTATGGAAGCAGAATTAAGCAAAGGATTAGACCAAATAGGGATGTAAGTTTTGCAAAAGCAAATGCTAACAAAAGTTTGGATGATAGGTAAGGTGTTACGTTTCAGAGTTTAAGCCAGTCTCTAGCTATTAAAATTACAGAATCACAGAAACTGGAGGTGAAGGATATGAAGAGAGCATATTTAGTTGATGATATTCCTTCCCCAGAGCATATCAACTATACATGTTATTCCTGACAGATGTTAGACTACTATGCCATAAAACCCTCCAGTGAAAGATATGCCATAACTGCAATGCAACCTGTTCTTAAATGTCATTAATCTCAATTGTAGAAAGCTCTTTCTAATGTGTGGTATCTCCTTTGTTGTCTTTTAAGCCCATATATTTTTGTTGTTTTGAATACAGTACCAGAGTGTAGATTATTACTGCTTCATGGCAAGGATTTATATTTTTGTTATCACATTTCTCCGTAGTCTTTCCTTCTGTTAACGGTTTCCCCAACCTTCGAGCTCTCCTAAATCATGTTATGGGATCTCTGATAACTCTTACTGGTATTTTTCTGGACTTTCTCCAACTTGCCCAAGTCTTTCTGAGGTGTGGCATGCTGTCCCGAACAGAGTACACTAGCAGATCGAGATCTCACCAGCAACAAGTAGCGCGTAAGGATTACCTCTCGGGCCTTAAACACGATACTCCTGTTAATATACAGCTTGCTTTTACAGCACGGTGTTGTTAACTCTGGCTTAGCTTGTATCATTTTCTGCGGAACAGATTACAATGAAATGTTAGAGAGATGCTTTCACAGGAGCTCAGTAGTGCTCACTTTCCCCCACATGGCTGGTAGAGTCTTCTTAGGTGTTTTCTGGCCGTTCATGGAGACAGGATCCTGAATTAGATAGACTAGGTATCCACCAGAAACACAGATAAGTAACTCCCCAGCTTCTCCTCGTAAAGAAAGACCATGTGATTTTCACAGCTGGTTTTATCGTGAATTGTCCTCATCTGCAAAAGCCTTGATTAGGTGCTATGAAGAACAAGCTTAGAGAGACCAGAGACCTGAATCATGCTCACCTCTCTATTGTAAGAAGTTGTATCCAGTGTAGAGAAAGAAAGTCACTTTAAAATAGGACAGATTTTTCTTACTCCCTACAAATTTAAATACATTTCTTTGAAGAGGAAATTCCTTTTACTTGGAGCTGCAGGTTGCATTAGATCATCTGATTTCTTAAAAAAAAAAAATCCAGTCATTCTGGAGCTCTTCATTTCATCTGCTCTGAACCTATACCCATAGATTATTATACCTGATATATTATCAGGCCCTGAAAAAAGCAGAACAAGTTCCTTGGAACAGATTGTTTCAGTAAATGTCTTCCTTTCCTAGTGCAGTGCTCGGAAATATCCCTCTGTGCTAGTTTTTCCATGAATACTTAACCTCTAGTTTTGGATTCATCTAGCAACAGGAGACCATTATCTTGTGAAAATCCTGTATCTTTTTTACAGCTTCAAAAATAGACAAACTGGTCTTTGGAGTTCTTTGTACTGGGTAAACTGTCTTTCTTCTCTGTCTTACGTATAAGAGCAGAGAGGTTTGCAAAAAGAAAATGTATCTGCTGAGACCAGATGACGTATAGCTGAGGGGAAAAAATAGGACAAGCGTTCCAGCTGGGAGTCCCTCCATTAGCTCTGGCAAGGAGCAGCCAAAGTGCTTGCCAACACCCAAGTACTATTTCATCTGTATGTGCACAAAAGTAGATCTATTGGCATTCATACCTGTTGCTTTAAATTTACATTTCTTCCTGTGAAAGCTTGAAGTAGAAATGTTGGCATCTGAAATCCTGTAATCACTGCATCCTACAGGCTCCAGCCCGAGGCTGAGTCGCGCTGGCAAGAGAAGGACTTGAACTGACCGGAATCAACCACAAGATGAAATGTAACTTCTTCCTCCCTGAAGAACTGAAATATGCTATTCCAACAGAGTCGTCTGGATTTTTTAAGGTTAAAACAGGAATATTCTATGTGGACAAGGAGTAAATAAATCCCCAAAGCAAATATGAACTATTAACTGGTAACATAGGAAAAGGAAAGGAACAGTGGGGTTAGAGAGAGAGAGAGAGGGAAATGTCTGAGTGGAAGCCCGGTCATTTAAGTTCCTACACTTTATTTCTGTTGGTGTAGCTCTACAAGTCACATTAAAACAGCAGAAGCGATGCTGAGCCGTTTCTTTAGGTGCTACCTAATGTTTGAAAATGCAACCTCAGAAAAACTACCTTAAAAATCAGAACAGGAGTCGTGGAAACGGAAGAGATTTAAAATCAAATACTTAAACTCCTTCTCCCGGGGGATTCCCGTGATGAGCATACGTGCGATGGAGCTGCTATTTAAAACGAAATTTTAAATTTGTCGGGGGGGGGGAGGAGGAGGAAGCCTCCCAGGGAGGGCAGGCGAGCGGCGCCCGTAAAGCGAGCTAAGGGAGCGGGCAGGAGGGAAGCCCCGGGGCCGGGGGGCGGCCCCGGGCGGGGGCC